TCGACTGTGATTGGTCAATTTCTTACTCTTACTTCTTACTCCGTGTATTGTAGACGGGCCTTTAGAGTATACAGAGGTACAGCATCGTGCAGCGCTCAATCCAAATGTTACAAAATTTGATTGATAGTTGTTTCTCCATGCCAGTGCATGTTAACAAATTATACAAATACAAATACATACAGGTTATACAAATTATATCAATCCATAATTTATCAATATTTTACTTTATATGTTTATATGAACTATTGTAATGAAAGATGTATCTACCGTGCTCCAGTGTTGGTACATGTAATCTAGCTAATTTTTTTTCGGCCATTTCGTTATATAATAAATTTTGTTACAAATAAAAATAATTAACTCAAAGTTAACATGCATTAGCATGGATAAACAACTGTCAATCAAATTTTGTAACATTTGTATTGAGCGCTGTACGATGCTGCACCTCTGCATACTCTAACGCGCAACAAAATTAACAACTTACAGAAATAAATTTATGGATCCTAGGGATTTTCTAGAAATGCCAACATTCGTCCGCCATTTTTTATGGATTTTGTCCGGTAACCTCCAAATCTGTTAGCGTTTTCGGCCCGATCGGGTTTGCACCAATCTGGGTTGGATTAATCTTTCCTATTGGTTGACGTCACACGCTCTACCAATAGGAGAGCGCAAAACGCCATTAATCCAACCCAGGTTGGTGCAAACCCGGCCGGGCCGAAAACGCTATGTAAATCTGTTCCGTTCCATTGACGGTACGATGATGTAAGGTGGTGCGGGACAGTGTGGGGATTATTTTATTAAGAAGACACATAACCAAAAATTGCACATTTTGGACGATATTTTAAAAATAACGCTAGAAAATTGTAACATTTGCGTTTAAGTGTAATAATAATTTTGCTACAATTTAAGAAGACATGAGATTGACATCCAGTTTGTTAAAACACGTAGGAGAATGGTCAAAGAAATATGCAAATTTACCGGAAAGTTACATAGAACGAGCTATGGCACAGGTTTGCACAATTGTCAAATTGTTTTAGTCTGTATATTGTTAAAGAACATAAATTGTATAACCTTATGAAAATTATATTTCAGTTAAATGTGATGAATTTTTAATATATTATAATTTTTTTTCATGCTGATCGAAAGTATCAATAGTTCACTTATGTCCATTTCTATCAATGTAGATTGACTTTAATATCGGTTCAACTTACTTTTCATCTTTTTCTAATTCTTGGATGTAAATTAAACTACATTAATAGAAACAGGTATTAAAAGTAATCCAAGTGAGCTATTAGTGAAGTCTTATATATAGGTATATAGTCTTATATAGGTAGTATGCAAATTCATTTATAACAAATAAAAAAAGGGATTATAAAAAAAATATATATTATTTTTATAATATTACATATTTTTTTGAGAATAATATTAAGATAATGAGTTATAATTTTCGGATTTTGAATGACTGAACTTAAAAGTTGTTTATTTTTACAAGTTGTGTCTATTAGAATTAGTCGTTGCCCTAGTTAATTAAAATTTGATCAAAGTTATTCTGCTCTGCTGATCAATTAGTTAATTATTAATTTTAACATTTTTATTTGTTAATGTATTAAGGTTTATTGGAAAACACCCAACAAGCCAAATTATTTGCCACGCAAGATTCAAAGAAAACAATTTCGTTTCTCAATACACCGTCCATGGACTTATCAATTTCGTCGTGATAATGCACCTGGTAAATTTCATAAATTCATTCACGTAGAGCCTATTAAGGATTGGAGTTTCTTTCGAGGTGATAGGGTACGTTATTTTATTGATAGACTTTTCATAAAAAGTGAAAAGATAAGAGATGATATTAGTAATATTATTTTGATATATAAATATTGTAACATTTGTATAAATTTATATTTTTCTAGGTAGAGGTTTTAGTAGGAAAAGATAAAGGAAAGCAAGGGATTATAAAAGAAATTTATCAAGAAAGAAACTGGGTAATTGTCGAAGGACTTAACACGAAGCTGGAATGTCATACGATGGATAAAAAATATCCTAGTGTATATGTGCAGCAAGAACAACCATTATTAGTCACCACACAAATACAATTGGTTGATCCTTCAGATATGTAAGTATCTATTACATCATAAAAAATTTATGTTATGAAAATAAATGTATAGTGTCAATGTTTATACATTACTAATTTACAAATCGTTGCAGGGAAGCAACTCCGATAGAATGGCGATTCACAGAAGATGGTCAGCGTGTACGCGTATCCATAAGATCTGGTAGAATAATTCCTATTCCTGTTTCAAGCAAAGAAACGATAGATTACAAACTTCCTCAGCTTTATCAAGAGCAAGCAAAAGATACAACTAAAGCTGATGTGGAAAAAATAACTTTCGACGTATGTAAAATACC